CTTGGGGGCTCCCCGGGCAGGTTGTGGCCCACGGTCCTAGCTAGTCTGGGACTTGGGGGCTCCCCGGGCAGGTTGTGGCCCCCGGTCTTAGCTGGTGTGGGACTTGGGGGCTCCCTGGGCAGGTCGTGACCCACGGTCCTAGCTAGTCTGGGACTTGGGGGCTCCCCAGGCAGGTCGTGGCCCACGGTCCTAGCTAGTCTGGGACTTGGGGGCTCCCCGGGCAGGTCGGGGCCCCCGGTCCTAGCTGGTGTGGGGCCTGGGGACTCACCGTGCCTGAAGACGCTGGGGTGCTTACACTCCTGGATGTGGGCCTGGGTCTCCAGGCTGATGGGGATACGGCCGCTGTGCGCCTTATTGTCAAAAGTGATCTGCAGCGGGACGGCAGGGCGGGAGGAGCCAGAGTAAATGCTGGCCCAGCCAGGCTCCCAGACCCGCACGATAGGTAGTCTGTCCAGCCCCATCCCCCTTCGTACCCCCACGCTGCCCCTGGCCAAGGTCCCCAGCCGGGAGCTCAGGAGCCCTGCAGGCAGTCCCTATTCCTGGCAGGCCCCCACCCTCGACCCCGACCCAGGGCTCACCAGGACACTGAAGGTGTAGCAGTCCGGAATCTCATTGTTGATCAGGCTCTGGAGGTTGATGGTCTTCAGCTGGAAGTGGATGGTGACGTTGATCAGCCTGGGGGGGAAGGCCTGGGTGAGGGGGGGGGCTCTGCTCCTCCCTCCTGCCGTCCCTCCCCCCACCGCTCGACACCGACTCTGCTCCTCACAGAGGAAGTGCTCACACATGGGCATCAGCACGGCCTTGCTCTGTCCCCGCCTGTGAGGGGGTGACCAAGGATGCCGGGCGTGCTGCCTCCCCCCATCCCTCCCCCCCGGCCCGGCCCTGCGACCCCCTCCGTTAGTACTTGTGGAATTTGAGCGTGAGGTTCTTGTATCCGGCACTGCCGTCCGAAAGGGAGAGATCATCACTGGGGGGCACAAGGGGTTTCTCAGGGGGGTCCACGCGGATGCAGTCTGAGGACAGGGAGTCAGGGAAGGGACACTGGAGGCGGGAGAGGCACAGGCAGGTCCCCCCAGAGTCCCCCACAGCACCCTCCCCTGCTTCACTGCCCACTACGAACTTAACGGTTGTCGTCTGTTTCCCACTGTCTCCCTAGCATAGGGCCCAGCGTGTCACATTCCCGACACAGGCCCCAGGGCCCGGGCCTCAGTGGGCCCCAGATGTTTAGTGAATCAACGATATTAAAGCATTCCCCCAAGGACACCCCAAGCGCCGAATCGCTACTGATCAGGACAACCCTATCTGCTAGATGGGCCGGGAGGCAGAACCGGAATGGGAATCCCAGCAGCGGCGCTCCAATGGCCGTGTCCGTCCAGCCCCGCCTACTCACCAGTGACAACCATTGGATCGATGTCAAAGGTGTCGTTGGCTGGGTCCACGTGGCCGCGGTGGTAGTAGTGCTGGCAGAGGGCCAGGGCCGAGCCGTTGGCCCAAGGGCCACCCCCGCCCCGCACGTAGGCATACCGGCCCAGCGACACGTCCGGGAGCATCAGGTACTGCGGGCAGGGCGGGGGAGAATCCGTCAGCCCTGCCCCCTCTCCCCTGCCCATCCGCGCCCCCGCCGGCCCCCCGCGTGCCCGCACCTGGTCCACGGCGTAGAAGATGGCCTGGTAGAGCTGCTCCCGCGTGTAGGCTGCGAAGGTGTCGTCCGCCCCATCAGAGTAGCCCCGCAGGAAGAGGTGCCGGAAGGCAATGGTGTTCTCCTCCCGGAATGTCACTGCCAGCTGGTTGCTGAGCCCGAACAGGATGAGCTGGTGGAGGGAGCAGGGATGGACGCCGCCGCGATGGGGCCTCCCCAGGGCACGAGCAGAGGAAGGCCCACAGGGTGAGCAGCACCCAGCGGGTGCTCGTACGTCTCACGACCAAGGTCAACGTTCATTAAATGTTTAACAGGTGCCACGTTCTGTGCTAACCCAAACCTACAGGGTTAGTGCCTCTGATGGGCCCTTTTACCGAAAAGAAATCAGGAGTGTGGTAACATGCCCTGAATCGATCGCACAGCACCAGACCGGGAGCTCCTCAGGGCAGGGGCTCGGTCTGACTCATCGTGGGGTCCCCAAAGGCCACCACGGGGCCTGGAAGGCAGCAACGATCTGTCTAGCCCCTGGGTCCGTTCTCTTTAAGCATCAACCTGGCACCAGGCTGCCTGGGTTCAAGTGCCAGCTCCCAACACTTGGTTGCTCTGTGACTTTGGACAAATCCCTTAACCTCTCTGAGCCCTAGTTGCCTCTTCTACAAAAGGGTAGCAATGACAGCTGCTGGGACCTCAAGGGCATTTGTGAGGTTCCCAGGAGCTGTTCCCACACAGACCTGGGGGGCTTCCTGACCGATTATCGCCACCATCGCTGCCCTTATGTTGCTGCAGCGTCCGGTCCGGGCTCTGACTCCAGCACTCTCCTTCCAGAATAGCAGCAGCCACAGGTGGTGTGCTGCTGGGGCCGCTGCACGACTCACCTGCACGGTGACCACCAAGATCTTCACCACTTGCAGCATCAGCTTGAAGGGCTTGCGACCCTTGGCCCGGAACTTGTCACAGGGACTCATGAAGAAGTACTTGAGCCGGCGGCGCAGGTCTTCCTCTTCCGGAGGGACCGGGGAAGCCCCGGCCCGGGTGCCATACCCAGGACTGGGGGTCAGCAGGCGCTCTGTCTCTGTGGGAGAGGGAGACGACAGTGGGGGACCACCTACCAACAGGGGAGAGAGGTCCCAGCTCCAGCCACAAAAAGAATTCAGATCGAAGAAAACCCAGAAAACCTGTGACGTTTTACGGGTATGTGCAGCAATAGCCCCCCGACGTTACCAATTCCCACATGGGGCTCAAAAGGGCCTGAGTTGATGCGTGACCCTGTTGCTCACTGGCTTGGGCAGGGTACTCAGCCTCTGAGCCTCAACTTTCCCATCTGCAAAATGGGCCAGTAATGTTGCTCACTGGGAAGCTGAGGAGCTGATGCGCACAAAGCATTTATCACAGGGGCTGGCACGTGGCAAGAGCGTCACAACACTCCGTCCTTGGGGCGCTTGGGTGACTCAGTCAGTTAAGCATCCAACTTTGGCTCAGGTCATGATCTCACGGTTCATGGGTTCGAGCCCTGCGTCGGGCTCTGTGCTGACAGCTAGCTCAGAGCCTGGAGCCTGCTTCCGATTGTGTCTCCCTCTCTCTCTGACCCTGCCCTGCTCATGCTGTCTCTCTCTCTCTCTCTCTCAGAAATAAATAAAACATTAAAAAAAAAAAAAAAAAAGAAGAAGAAGAAGAACAGTCCATTTTTCTTGCAGGTGTTGGTTTGTGGGGAGAGAACGAATTGCTTCCACTGGCTTCTCACAGGGCACTCAAGGCTCCAGGGGTCATGCCAACTCTAGCCCTTGGTGTGAGCACGGAGCTCAGCTACATTTTTCTTTTTTTCTTTTTTGAAGAGAAGGAGAGCAAGCACGCGTGGGGGAGGGGCAGAGGGAGAGAGAGAATCTTTAAGCAGGCTCTAGGCTCAGTGCGATGCTCAACCCCATGACCCTGGGATCATGACCTGAGCTGAAATCAAAAGCTGGAAGGTAACTGAGCCACCCAGGAGTCCTTTCCAATTTTTTTGTTTGTTTGTTTTGGTCAAACACCCAAAGAAGGGCCTTTCCGCTCATCGTGACCTGGCCCGTCCAGATGACACTCTCACAAGCCACAGGCCTGGAGAAGAGGAGACACTAACAATAACAATAGTAGAGCGCATTTGCTGAAGACTTGTTGCACCCTGGTGGGTGTCATTATGCCACGTGCATGTCAGTTCGTGAGCGAACAGAGCATCTTCATTAAGGGCACCAGCTTCTGGAAATCACACACCCCTAGAAACAAATCTCAGACCTGCTACTTCCCAGTTAGGGAATCCTGTACATCTTTCAAATTCTCCTCCTCATGTGACAAGTGGAAATTAAAAAAAAAAAAAGTCTACCCTGAGGCTGAAATTCTGGAAGGTGTTCTCAGAATGAAGACAAAGGAGAGAAAAGCCTCAATTCAGCGCTAATATCTTAGTTTAGTTCTTTGGCAAACAGGGACTATTCTAAGCACTGCTTACTCTCTTCGCTCCTGATCAGCCCAAGAGGAAAGTCCAAGGTTTCATTACCTGCTGGGGTCACAGCTGGTCACAGGGGCCCAGGACCGTCCCTGACAACCCCCCCCCCCCCACTGGAAGAACCCTGCTTCTTTCCAGGACCTGGTGGCTGCCTGGCACAGCCACCAGGATGCATGTGACACTGTCAGAACCTGCCGTGCAGGGAGGGCCAGCTCCTGGCCGGTCCCCTTGGAGCTTGGATGCTGTTGTGGAGTTGTTTACAAGATAGTTGGATGGGAAGCCAGAGGGCAGGCCCGCCGCCCTAGCTGGGATCACAGGTGACCCATCCCAGATCCTACCAGCAGGGACAGCTTTCCGACATCTCCAGCCGGCTCAGGAATGGAAGATCAACAAGAGCGTCTTCCTCCAGCCACACCGCCCCCCCCACCCCGCCCCGCGCCTGTCCAGAAGCAGAGACTAAAGACACCCAAGGCTGGACAGTCACCGCCTGAGTTCAAGAAAGCTGAGCTTCCCTGGGTTTGGGCTTCTAAAATCGAGTTAAGCGCCACGGTCTAGGAGGCGACTCCCCCAGCTCACTACCTGAGTTCAGAGAAGCTGAGCGTTGCCTCCTGGACTGGGGGAGGGAGTCCTGGGAGCCGCACGTGAGCGGGGGAGAAGCTGGTGCCCGCTTGTCTGAGTTCCAGCCAGGCCGAGCAATGGGAACTACGCTCAGCCCACCTTCCGCTGCCTGAGTTTGGGGACTCAGCACAATGTGGGTCCAGGAAGCGCACTCGGGAGTCCCGCCACTCCGAGCTCGGAGGAGCCGGTGCCCACCTGTCGCCCAGGTTCTAGGAGCCATCTGTCCTTACCTCCAGCACCGGGAAGCTGAGAGGTCAGCACCGGAGTTGAGGCAAGGGAAACCGGGAGCTCAGCCGCCCCAGGTCGGGGATGCTGGCCGCCCGCCCGCGTTCGGGGACCCGCGGCGCCGCGCGCCCTCACCTGAGCCGCGCCGGCCCACCGGGGCTGCCATGCCGGGACGGGGAGCGCCGGACGCCGGCGGGCGCGGCGGGGCAGCCGGGGTCCGAGCGCCCGCCGCTGCCACTGCGGCCTCGCTCCCTCGCCGCGCAGCTTCAAACCCGCACGCATCAGCTGACTGGAGCCGCGGTCACGTGATCGGGGCGGCACAGCCCCCACCCCTGGAAGCATGTGACCGGATCCTGTCCCACCCCCTGCGCCACGACAATCCCCGCTGCCGCAGCACGCATGCGTCGTCCTCAGCTGGCGACTTGCGGGGCGGAGGGCGGGCTTGAGGTCCTAACGCCGCCGGTCCATGGAGGGGCTGGGGGAGGGGCTGGCTGTGAGGATGCCAAAGTAGGGCTGGCTCCGTCCTGGCTCCTTGTCATGCCCCCGTCCGGTGCCAGGTTCTTGAGTTCCCTGTTCGATGCTTGACCCCTTACCCTCCCCAGAGTCCGATGATGACCGTCCGTCCTCTCTCATGGCTGCCTCTCTGGCCTGGAAGAAACCGCCTGGTTGCTCCCAACTCTTTCGGCTTCTGCTGCTCTCATCTGAACTGTCAGCAAACCCTATTTCATTTCCTCATTATGTCCTACATAGGACCACATATCCCCGCTCCTATGGCTGTCAGCCTAGAGTCCCCCAACATTCCTGGCCTGGACCGCCGCAGCAACCTCCTTGCTAATCTGAGGCTCCCACGCCTGCCGCCTCCATTACACTGTCCAGGCAGCAGCTGGAAGCATGGTCGAAGAGTAACTCATGTGAGTCCTCTGCCACACCTGCCAATGTCTTCCCATTGCTCTAGGATCACCAGCAAAGTCCCACCTCAGTCTGCCAGGCCCCTCTGCTCTGGCCCCATCTCCCCTAGCTCGTCACTCAGCAGCCCCAGGGCCTTTGCACGCTCTTGCTTTGAAGCACGCTGGTTAAGAACTCAGGCTCTGGAGGACAGTTTGGATTAAATCTAGTCTCTGCCAGCTGCTAGTTCTACATCTTCTAAAAGGGCTCTTTAAACTCCACGTGCCTGTTTACTTATTTGAAAAATGGGGTTACTTAGTCATAGTTACCTGTTTCGTGAAGCTGTTGAGCTAAAAGAGAAAACACAAGAGCGTAAATTGCAAGAGTATGGCGTAAGGCGGGACAAACAGCGCTAACGATTAAATTGGGGTTCTAGAATCCCTCCTCAGGAAAGCAGTCTCCCGCCCCCTACTCCTAAATCATGTCTTGATCCTTTTGCAGATCATGGTCTTGATGACTGAGTGTTAATGCTGCTCTGTGTTTTGTGTCCCCCTCAAGCCTTGCTACAACCTCAGCACATTACCTGTCTGATGTTGGGGGGTGGGGGTGGGGGGAGTCTGGTCATGCTTCTTCTAGAATGAACTATAGCCGGAAACTACTTTTCAAAGGTTTCTGAATTTGGCATCTGTGAGTTCTGTGAAGGCCAAGGCCATGCTTATCTTGCTCCCTGTTGAGACCCCAGCAAGCAACAGATTTTGGTTGAGCACAGAAACGGGCGCCTCCTCTGTCCAGTGTTGTGCCTAGGACATGGGGTTTGAAGGGCATGGGGTAGGTTATGCGAGCACATGGGGTAGGGCTGCCCGCAAGGTCTCATATCAGCCTCCATTATCAGCCCGCTAGACTGTCGACATGCTGGAAATTCCGCCGTTCAGAGAAAAGCCAGAGGGAAGGGATCCCGTTCAGACCACCCGTGCCAGAGGAGTCTGCCCTCAACTGGGGTGGCCAGCCTGGGGGAGCAGAGTGGTAACTGCTGGGATGGGCCAGTGCGAGACCTTGTGGGGGACCTGGGAAGCCTGGAGGATTGGGGACGGGAGGTCAGGACACTGGGGTTCCAGCTATGGCTGGCACAGACCACGCCCTCCCCCATCTCCTGAGGAAAGGGCTGTGCACGTGTGGAAAAAGAGACACAGGCAAACCACAACACAGAGCCAGGAGGCAGTGCGAGGATTTTACTAAACTGCATGACACACAACTTCCCCAGGCCCCGTCAGCGTCGGCGTCCACATCAGCCGTCGGGCCCCAGCAATGCCCCTCGCTCCTGCACCCACTCGGGACTCTCGCCAGTAGGGAGGGCTGGGCTGACGGTGTCATGGGTGGGAGAGCCGGGGTCGGGATGAGACTCCGGGTTGGAGTCGGGGCTGGCCACAGAATCTGGGTCGGGGCTGGCCACGGGGTGGGGATCCGCGACACGACCAGGTTTAGGGTCAGAAGCTTGGATGGAATCAGGGGTGGGGGTGGCTTCGGAGCCAGAGACAGCTTTGGGGCTGGGAGTAGGGAGGGAGCCCGGCTCGGAGCCAGGGTCAGAGCCAAGGCCAGAGCTGGGGCCGGGACTGAGGCCCAGGCCGGCGCCGAGAACAGACACAGCATCAGGACCCAGGAGGGAGACCTGCCCGGGCCTCAGCATCGAGGCGGGGCTGAGGCCCAGGCCGGCGGCTGCCGCTGCAGCTGCGGCGGCAGCGGCGGCCGCGCCCTCGTGCACCCGCTTGTGCTTGGTGAGGCTGGAAGCCTGGCCGAAGGCCTTGCCGCAGAGCTGGCAGCGGTAGGGGCGCTCCCCGGAGTGCACGTGCAGGTGCTGCAGCAGCGCCGAGCTCTGCCCGAACGCCTTGGAGCAGTGCGGGCAGGCGTAGGGCCGCTCGCCCGTGTGGATGCGCAGGTGGTGCTGCAGGTTGGAGCTCTGGCCGAACGCCTTGCCGCAGTGGGGACAGCGGTACGGGCGCTCGGCCGTGTGCGTGCGCTGGTGCTGCAGCAGCGCCGAGCTCTGGCCGAACGCCTTGCCGCACTGCGGGCACGGGTACGGCCGCTCGCCCGTGTGCGTGCGCAGGTGCTTCAGCAGCGCCGAGCCCTGCCCGAAGCCCTTGGCGCACACGGGGCACTTGTGCGGCCGCGGGCCGCCGTGCGTGCGCAGGTGCTGCGCCAGCAGCGAGCCGTGCCCGAAGGCCTTGCCGCACACGGGGCAGTGGTGCGGCTTCTCGCCGCTGTGGCTGCTGCGGTGCTTCAGCAGCGTGGAGCGCCAGCCGAAGGCTTTGCCGCAGGCGGCGCACTGATAGGGCCGCGCGCCCGTGTGGATGCCCCGGTGCTGCGCCAGCGTGGCGCCGTGGCTGAACGACTTGCCGCAGTCGGGGCAGCGGTAGGGCTTCTCGCCGCTGTGGGTGCGGCGGTGCTGGCTCAGCCCCGAGCTGCGGCGGAAGGCTCGCCCGCAGTCGGGGCAGGAGAAGGGCCGGGGAGGGCTGGCGGGGGCCGGAAGCACTGCGGGGCTGGCGGCCAGCACCTCGGGGGTGGCAGTGAGGCTGGATGAGAGAGGGTCCAGGTCTGGGGCTTCGGTGGGTCTGAGGGTGTCGTTGTTCGGGTCAAGAACCAGGGGGACGGGGCCGATGACATCTGGATCCAGGTCGAAACTTGAAGACATGGGGTCGAGATCTTGGGGATCGGGGTCACGGGTCCCCGAGATGGAGCTCGGAGCTTCGGCATCGGGGTCCAGATCCTCCGAGACCGGCTCCAGGTCTTCATAGCTGGGGTCCACATCTTCAGAGACAGTGTTGAGGTCTTCTGGCTCGGGCTCTGGGTCTTCACAGACTGGGTCCGGCTCTTCAGGGTTGGGGTCCAGGTCCTCGGAGTCGGAGTCAAGCTCTTCATAAACGGGCCTCGGGCCTTTGTGGCCTGGGTTCCTGACCAGGACCGAGCGCCGCATCCCTGGTGTGGAGGTGCTGGCTGCTTCTACGGCGGAATCTGTAGGGTGAAGACAGAGGGTGGGTGGACGTAGGTTCCGGAGAACATGGGGATCTCTTCTGGGGTCTGGGCAGGGAAGGGGGGGCCGTGCCCCAGAATCCATTCCTGAGTACACACATGGATCCGTCTCTTGTCTCAGACTGCGGGGACACTTGTGGTGAGCCCCATCCAGGGCAGGGAGAAGAGGGACCCTGGTGTGACATGGGGGGGGCGGGGCTTCCCTCCTCAGCACCACACCTGGATGGAAGTCATGGGACCCAGCACTAGAGGTCTCCAGTACCCAGTTCCAGGGCTCTGCCCCTCTCTCCATCTTGGGCTCCTCCTCCCGTGGGAAGCTTGGGTCCTGTGGAGGAGAGAGAGTCCACGGTTCCTACCCCCTTGACTGGGGTCTCCTCATGGGAAAGAGAGAGAAGTCCCTGGGTTCCTGTGCTTGCTTCCGAGTACATGGACTGACTCCCAGTTCCATAGTTGGGGCTGGCATATTTGGGGGTTCCTAGGAGGGAAGGCAACCTAGGGCTTGCCTCGTAGAGAGGAAGCATCGTGATCTCAGAAGCTTATATCTGGGGGATGAGTTGGGGGCAAACAACAGTTGGCACTCATCTTGGGTCACTGGGGGAGGGCAGGGGCGCCTCTGGCTTGCCTGCTGGAGAAGAGACGACCTGTGTGCCAGACCTCACGTTTCCGGGATGGGAATAACTGTCAAGACACTTGTGTACCCGGATGCCAAGTTCCTAAAGCTAGAGAGGGTGGGGAAATGCTGTGGGACCCACTGGGACACAGGGAGACCCATGGACCCTACAACCAGGAGAGCAGCGTCCGCTGTTGGTATACCTGTCTGCCCAACTGGATAGAAATCCTGAATTCTAACCCCTAGCTGGGGCGGGAGGGAACAAAAATAATACCTGGGGCTCCTCTTGGGTTACTGGGGGGCTCTTGGGTCATCTCCTAGAAAAGGGGGGTTCCTGAGTAACTGAGCCGATGGCTGAGATGGCCATGGGTGTCAGGACACTTTTATCTCCTCCTGGAGAAAAGATCCTGGATTCCAGCCCCATGCCTGGAGGTTGGGAGCAAGGGGAAGAAACAATAGCTGGACCGCCTTGGGGGGGGGGCGTGGGGAGCTCAGGATTACCTGATGGGGAGGCGATGTCTTGAGCTAGCCACCCCATGGGGGGTGGGGGCGGGTTGGGGAGCAAACCACAAATAGATCTGTTCCTGGAGGCAGAGGGGGCCTCCTGAGCCACAACCCCACAGCTGGAAGTGGCTACGCAAATGGAGAGGGTGGGGCTCTTAGATCACCCCCTGAACCCAGACACCACATTTGGAGGAGGGTAGGGGGAACAATGCCTGGGTCCCCATCTGGGTTCCTGGGGGGCGGGGGGAGGGCTTTAGATTGCCTCCTGAGGAAGGGCCCTCCCAAATTCCCATCTCCTAGCTGGAAGAGGGGGGCTTCTGAGTTCCTAGGGGGGCAGGTGGACCCCTGGATGACCTCCTGCGAAGGGGCTTCCAGAACTCTGGACCCCAAGACTGGAGGGTAGGGGGAACAATAACAGAGCTCCAGGTGGTCACAGGGAACCCCCCCATCTCCTTCTTGAGGAGGGGCCTCCTGAACTCCCGACCTCGGGGTGCAGGGTGGGGAGAACAATACTTAGACGACCTCCAGGGTTCCTGGGATGGTGGGGGTCTGGATCGCCTCCAGGGGAAGGGGAGTCCTGAGCTCCCGTCCCCACAGATGAGGGGTGCCCCCCCAACTCCCGATTTCAGGCGCCCAGCTCGGGCTGGGCCCTCCCCCCGGGCCGCGGCGGCGGAAAGGGCGCGCTAGGCCCGCGGGCCGCGGGGACCCCCTCCCCTCACGCCCGCGACCCCGCTCTGCCGGGCGGGGCAGGCGGCGCGCGCGGGGTGGGGGGGCGGACAGAGGTCGCCCCGGGCCGCGCCCCGCGCCCGCCCCCGCCCCGGCCGCGACCCCGGCCCCCGCCCGCCCGGCCCGCTCGCGGGGACACTCACCCGGCGCCCCTCGCCCCTGCCCGGCCCGCCGCGCCCCCGGGGCCCGCAGGAAGCCCCCCGCCCGCCAGCCCCGCCGGCGGCCCCCTCGGCCCAGCGGCCCCGCCAGGCGCTCCCGGGGAGCGAGAGGGGCCGGCCGAGGGCCGCAGCGGGAGCTGCTGGGACTTGTAGTTCGCCCGCGCCCGCCGCGGCCGTCGCCATCGCTGCCCCCGCCCCCCGGGCCAGCCTTTGTCCCGGCCCGGCCGCCCCGGCCGCGCGGCCGCGCCTTTGTGTGCGCGGCGCCCCCCCGCGCCCGCCCTCGCCCCGGCCCGGCCCGGGCCCGCGTCTCAGCCTCCCGGGGTCCGTCTCTGCCCTCGCCTGCGCCCGCCCGCGTGGCTGTCTCCCTGCGTCCCTGTCTCTCTTTCCATCTCTGTTCCCCTCTCCGCGCCTCGCTCTGTTCCCTTCTGTCCCTCTGTCCTTCTCTTTCTGCGTCTGTTTCAATCACTTTGCCTCTGTTCCTGTCACTTTTTTCTGCCTCTGCCCCTCCGTCTCTCTTCTGTCCTCTGTCTCTGCCTCCTGCCCACGTCTCTGACTCTTTGTTCGCCAAACCTTATTTCCCTGGCCGACTGGCAATGCACGTAAACACCGCCAAGGCTCTGAGAAGCCCTTTACAAAGCCGTTCTATCTTTGCTCAGTCCAGCGTCTCCCTCTACACTTCTCCATGCAAAAGGGCTGGGAACCCTGTCCCTGAGTTGTTTTCCTCCTACCGGGCTGATGGGTCACTCACTGCTGTCACGGGTGGGCTCCCCGTGTCTGATGCCCACTGGAGTGATGACGATCTCTGGAGAAGCCTAGGCCAGAGCCAGGAAGGACTCGGGAGACTTTACCTGGAGACACAGATCCCGGCAAAGAGGGAGTGAAAAAGCCCCGGCAGCTGGGTGCATAAACAACGGTCACATATTATAAACAATGATCACACAAGGCCGCTCTGTGACCATGTCTGAACCGAGCCAGACACGCTGCAACCACAAAAATGAGTACACACCCTCCTCTCCCGACCCACGCAAATGACTACTGTTTCTTACCGACGACAGCTCCCCGTCCATCCACCCCATCGGCCCGCTGCTGAGATAAAAATCATCAAAATACCCAGGCACCAATCCGCTCCCCGCCAGCACCAACCTAGAATTGCCTCTACTCTCTTCAACCGTCTTTAAAACTACCCAGCACACGCCCACGTCCTATAAGATGACCCTCCTGTCCCACAACACCCTCTATGGAGGCGCCCTGTGGTTCCTACTATGTGATCTTCCCTGCTGGAGCAAGCTAAAAAATATATATTTTTTGACGACAGGTGTATTTCTGATGGTCGTTGGCCAGTGGATTTTGACACCACCTACCCTCAAGCACATCAGGCCTCCAGGAGTCTTCTTTCTCCTTTTGTGAACCTTCTAGATCTGTGCTGAGCTTACGGTCTGAAACTTGCTCTCCACATTTCTGCCGGAAAGCGCACAGCAGATCTGAGAGGGCTGAGACTGAAATTGGATTATGTCACTGGTTCCTCACCCTGTCGCCTCCCGGAAGATCCCATACCAAGTCATACTTGTGATGACAGCTCTTGTTTCTGTCTGCTAAGTATCTCTGTCAGCACTTTGTTCTCCCTTTGTGGATCCTTACCCCCTACTCCAGTCTAACACAGCCCCCCGGTACCATTCAATCTAAACGTACCAGACAACTTCATCCCCTGGCAACAATAAGTAGGTCTAAGGACATGACATTGGAGGGTCTCATTCTTCCTCTAGGATCATAACCTGTATATAGGACCTCCTCCTACCCGCATTCACCTTCCGCAGTTGTCTGGAAGAACAGTCTGCAGACTGAAGCCAGTCTATACCAGGATGTATAGATGAGAGTCAGAGAGACAGTTCTGGCAATATTGGTTGAGCTCCTGGATACAGCCATACCTGAAGTCAGTTGCCCTGATTCTTTCCAATACCACGAGCCAACACATTTCCCAGACATTTGGGGTAGTTTTGTCCCCTGAATCCTTATTCTGGTTCCCATTGAATCCATGATAGTCTCAACTTATTTAGAATTAGTACCTGGAAAGGGAAGGGTATTGAGGGAAATGACTTGAAATGTGGGATTGGCTGAGAAAAGTTGAAGTAGAGGGCCAGGGTCACCCCATACACATATGCATTCACTTTAAAGTGAAGGAAACTCTCTATATTTACACAGCTCACAATCTACCCCGGGAAGAGCCTTCCTCGAGAAACAAATCTCTGTTATGTGGGAAAATAGCTTATTGAAATCTTGCCTGTTTTATCTTGGGAGTCTAAACACATGTCTTGAGACTGTGGTTTGAGGGACTTTGGAGAAAAACATGAGGATGTTGAAATATGTGAGAGCCTTCATAAGGCCTTCAGAAAGGTCTCCTTCGACAGACACAAGCTACCTCTGGGTACTTCTAGGAACAGAGACTAGTAGCATCTCCTAGATGTTGTGATTGCCAGAGCTGAATTCTCTGCCGCAAGCTAGAAGAGGAAGTTAGTAATGAGGCGGGAGATAAGATTGGGATTATCGGAGGACCAGGGAGCACTTGATGCCCCAGGCTATTCTGTAACACTGAACACTCCCTGTCTATAAATTTACAATTACCCTCTGGGTTGGGAAGAGTCTATTAGCTGCCTTTCCACCCTTCAGATTGTGACCTGGAGCAAAATAGATGCTAAGGGGTTGGGCGGGCACAGGTCTGTTGCTAGGAGATAAGATCCGGAAAGGCTGGGCTCCAGGCCCAAAGATCCTCGTGAGTTTTGGGGAATCAAATCACCCAGGGTGTGGGCCAGTGGGCTGGCCATCCAATCATAGCATTCTATCCCTCTGGGCACAATGATTGGCTCACGGCTAGGCATGGGACTCAAACGGGCCAGAGTGTCCCTTAAATTCCAGTAAGAGGAGTTGGGGGCCAGACCCTTCCCTCCTTTTTGAGGCTTTCCTCAAAAGGGATTTGGGTTATAGCATCTTTTTATAGCGTCCTTGGAACCAAAGTGGTCCCAAGCCACCACTTGAAGCCATACAGGGCTGGGAAGTGGTGAGGGAGAACAGTTCTGATGAATAACCAGCATCCCTCATGTGGGACCTAATACCAGATTTTATTTCTAAGTTGTAGAAAACAAAAGTCATCCAGACAAATTTGAAGATCCAACTGGTTTTATTAAATGATTCATGAGTGGGGCGGCATTCCCTCTAACACGTAGAGGGGCATTATGAGGAGTTGTGCGAAATAGAAGGTATTTATAGGAAGGAGGGGCAGGAAAAATCGTTCTAAGCAAAGGAAAAATGGTTATTCCTGGCAAGGTCACTTTCCCCCAGCGGAAGTACAGGGGATCTTATTGGGTAGATCACCTCATCTTCCTTTGGGGGGTGGAGAAGGCCCCTGTGACAGATGACCTTATGGTGCATCTCAGAAATTTACTGATTGATAGATTAAAATGGACATTTCTGGAGGAGGTTAAAACTGCCATTCAGTTAGGTATTAAGCCTTAGTTTGGTGATTTAGTCCGGCCCACATAACACTGTTTGGGGCCGGTGTTTTTTTTTTTTTTTTTTTTTTTAACAAAGTCAGTACAATCCTTTTCTGCTTCAACTAGAGCAAGCTGGGTTTCTGTCACTTGCAACAAAAATGACCTAAGACATTAGAAAAGTATGAGCACCTGTCCAGCTGCAGCCACACGCGGAACCCTGTTCTAAGAATGGTACGTGTGAGAAAGAACAGTTGCTGTCCCACTTTACAAATGAGCAAAGTGAGGATCAGAGCTCACCATCACCTACCCAATGACAGACAGACAGACAGGTAAGTGGCAGGTCTGAATTCTGCTGCTCAGTGATGAAGTGTTTTTCCTTAAAAATTAACCTGTTTTCCCAGGTTCAATCGTATTTTACTCATCTTATTTTATCAGCTTTCTTGGTTTCTGTAGTTAATATGAAATGCTTTTTTCGGGGGCACCTGGGTGGCTCAGTCGGTTAAGCGTCCGACTTCGGCTCAGGTCATGACCTCACGGTTTTCTGGGTTCAAGCCCCACATTGGGCTCTGTGCTGACAGCTAGCTCAGAGCCTGGAGCCTGTTTTGGATTCTGTGTTTCCCTCTCTTTCTGACCCTCCCCTGCTCACACCGTCTCTCTCTTTCTCTCTCACAGAAATAAATAAAAACATTAAAAAAAGAAATGCTTTTTTGGGGGGCACCTGGGTGGCTCAGTCAGTTAAGTGTCCGACTTCGGCTCAGGTCATGATCTCATGGTCTGTGAGGTCAAGTCCCACGTCGGGCTCTGTGCTGATGGCTTGGAACCTGGAGCCTGCTTCAGATACTGTGTCTCCCTCTGTCTCTGCCCCTTCCCCACTTGTGTTCTGTCTGTCTCTCTCTCAAAAATAAATAAACATTAAATAACTTAAAGAAATGCCTTTTTTGGTGGTGGGGTGAGTGGAATACAGGAAGGGTAGCCATAAATCCCCAAAGTACATCCCAAATCATGATGAAGTATCTTTCTGCACTGAAAATATTTCCAGTGGAGTTCTCATTCTTTCCCAGCAACCCATCCCAGGGCTAGGCAATCCCATTGTTAGAAAATGCTCCAACTTATGGAGAAATCTGCCTCTTTGTAACTCCCAACCATTAGTTTTCATCTGGTGTCTGGGTTGCTTTAAACCACTCCTAGAACCAGGCAGGAGCACAGATAATCCTGCGAATGGAAATGAATACCAAAGTAAGTTTTCTGAGCTTCCTGGTAGGCAAGGCAAAAAGGAATAGCCTTTTTGTTAAGAGTAGTCTTGTTAACACACAGACCAGCTTCATCAGGAGAGCTTGATTTTGTCCTGGGGATCTTTGTAGGCTGGGATTATTGCAGTGGTTCTCAACCAGGACAACCCTTCCCCCCCAGGGGACATTGAGCAATGCCTGGAGATATTTGTGGTTGTCACAACTGGTTGGGGTGGGGAGAATGCTGCTGGCACTTAGCGGGTAGAGGTCAGGGATGATGCTAAACATCCTACAATGCACAAGAGGGCCTCTAACAATAAGAAATGATCCCATCCAAAATGTCAATAGTACTGAGTTTGAGAAATCCTTCTTCATCAGGAGGTAATTCAGAAGTGTGTCATGTACATTGTTAGTGAAAGCAAGAAGAGGTGTTTTGCAGCTAGCCGACTCTTGACTCTTGCATGGATAATATGAGTGCAGCCGAAAGGGCCATCTTATTCTGTAGGACACACACCTGGACTTCTGTCCTTCCTGTGGAAATGACAACCTGGCCTCACAGGATTGCCACCCATAGGGAGATGGCTCCTGACAGGGCTCAACATTGGCTCTTAGTGGCTCGTTGGATTGAAAGCCTTGGCCTTTGAAGGTCTGACTCCAGAGTCAGGGAGCCATGTCCATTCCCTGAAACCTGACTGTCAACAGCCTACTGAAGCAGGCCCTGGTCTCGTCCACCAAGGCCCATTTTTTCCCCAGACAGCCAATTTCACCACACCCAAGACCTTCAAGATGGGGGCGCTGTCCAAGGTACCATTCGTTGACCTGTGTGTCAAGCCCTGTCATGAGCAGGCTTCAGGGCTCCACCCCATCCTCCTCCTTTCCACCCTTTTCATTTTGTGTCTGGATGGACATCTACCTCCTTGAACATAATCGTATCCTGATGGCTTTCATTGATTTGTCCCTGGACCCAGCTCTGACTTGGGGCCCGTTGGCCAGCCAACCAGTGCTTCCCACCTTCGCCCACAATGGAGGAAATTGCTGGGCCACTCTCAGCTTCTCCACTCCTTCCCATACCCTCATCTTCCTCTTTCCTCCTCACCTTCATGCTCGGAAGGGAAGTGCTCTCCCTCCTTGACCCTCAGCCACACACATGGACAAGTGTGTACATTTCTCATTTATAACATTCTAACAAGAGGGCTGCCATTCATCTCTACAGATAAGCAAAGAGATGAGGCTCACAGGGATTAAGTGACTTGCCCAAGACTTCTATCCATGACAGAGGAGTTGAGATTTAGAGCCTGTCCATTCAGCCCTGGGAGCCTACGTTCTCAACCCTTCACCACAGTGCCCTGTTCAACATTCTGACTCCACTCTCTCCACACCATTCAGATTTGTTGGTGCACCTGACACCTTACACTGAGTCCAACTGCCAAGCTTCTGTACAAGCTGGAACGGCCTCCCTACCCAGAGTGGGGTGAACTTCAGGGCTCACAGAAGTGTCTGTTCAGGGTTGGTTTTTTTTTGTTGTTGTTGTTGTTTTTTTTTTTTTTATGGAGTCACTCTCTCCTGGACAGTCTCCATCCCACCAAGCATCATCTTTCATGGTTGACTAATGAGGAGGGTGAGATGTTGCCAAGGCAGTGTTTATTGCTGGCTAGGGCATGGGTAGGTAGGGAGCTGGGGGGCCCGAGGGTCTACCTTCCCAGCCCCACAACCCCACTGGTGGGGGGAGCCCAGGGGCACATGGCTGTCCTGGAGGTTGGCCAATCTCAGCACTGTTGGGCCCTGGAACTTGAAGGCAAACTCATCCTTGTGTTGGGTGGAGAAGAAGTGCTGTCCACCCAGCGGGGGCTCAGCGTGGTTGTCCTTGCACTGTGGAGTCAGAGTGAGGAGCCTGGCAGGACAGCCTGAAAGCTGGGTGACGTACCTGGCCCACCCTGTGGTCCCCATACGACCCCGGGAGCAGCAAAGGCTGGCGACTGGACTCTGGAGAGGTGGGCAAATGGTATCCCAGTTTGCGCTGAGCTAGGAGCTGGATGAGAAGCTGGAGAGAAACCGGGAGGCCCCTGCGATGACCCCAGGACTGTGGTGACCCGAGGCAACTGAGCTTACCCTCAGCTGGAGGTACAATTGTGGCCGGTGATATAAAAATGTCCTTGAGCTGACCCTGAAATGACCCTGGAGGTGAGCTAGGGATGACCTTGAGGCTGGGGTGACATTAAGATGACCCTGTGCCTGGGGTCGCCCCAGAGTGACCTTGAACGAACTTGACACTAATTCCGGGCCTGTGGTGACGGCATCATCATCATGAGACAGAACTACACTGCTTTGAGGGGTTACCTGGTCTGGGAGATACCCCCCCCCCTCACCCGCTGTAGCATCTCTTCAGTCATGGAGGCCGGAGCTGTTCTGTGCGGTTTCAGCATCTTCTGGTTCATGGTTAAAAAGTCTGTTTCTGTAGATTTGGGTGGGGGTAGTGGAGATGAAGGGCTGAGAGAGGAGAGGCAGGGCCCCGGGGCACAAATTTGTGGATCAAGCATGGAGCCCTCGTTGAAGTTAGAGCGAAGGAGGGACTAGGAGGCGGGGAGGAGGGAGGAGCCAGGGGCGGGGCAAGCGCAGAGTCGTGGGGGAGGGCAGATCAGGTAGGTTAGTTGGTCAGCGGGCGGAGCCAGAGTCTGACTGACCGGCAGGGATTAGGGAGGACAGATGTGGGGAGGGGCCGAGCTATATCCTGCAAGGGGAGGTGCCATGACGGAGGCGGGGGGGGGGGGGGGGGGGGCAGGTCCACGGCGGGGCGAGGATGTCCAGGGGCAGAATTGGGATCTTGGTTCACGAGGAGGGAGCCAGCTCCTCAGGAGGCGGAGCCAGAGTGGGGCAGTGGGCGGGGCGAGAATCGTGGGGGCGGGGCTAGAGCTCACCGCCGGTGCCCTGGGGCAGGTTGCTAGCCAGCAAGTAGAGACTGGGAGTTGGCTGCGGCTTCTGTACGGTGCCTGGGAAGCAATAGTCCGTGCCCGTGGAGGTCTGGAAGAACTGTCCGAGCAGCGAGGACTCCCCTAGGCCCACGTGACTCTTCAGTGTCTCGTGAGGCACGTGGCGGCTGGATGGCTTGTTCCCGGGCGGTGGCTGTAGGACCACATGGCATCTGGGAAGCTCCCAAATGTCCGAGATGTCCCAAAACTCGTGTGAGAAAGAAGAGGTGAGCGCTGTACGACCTTGGCCAGCCCACACCCTCTCTGGGCCCCGCGTGCTGGTGCTGAGAGTTGGCGTTGTATCTCATTTTTGCAGATAAGGGGCACTGAGGCTCAGAGTGGTTAACTGACTTAACCCTAGACCCCGCAAATAGGTCCAGGACACCCCCCTCCGACACACGTCAAGCTCACTCTCACTTCAAGGCCAAGGCCACTTGCTACTGGTACCCCGTCTCCCTGATGAGCCTTGCGGCCTTCTCCCCCTTCCCGCTGACCTGGCCGTGGAAGAAGCGCGTGGAGGTGGTGAGGCTGCCTGGGCCGGGGCACCCATTGCCTTCCAGGATGTGCGATGCCGGAGTCTGGTCGTGGTGAAGAACAAAGCGCTCTGCCAGTGACAGGGGAGGCACTGAGCGGCCCTGGGAGGCTGCTGTGGGGACAGGGCGGGTGGCAGACTCTCACCTGGCTCTCGGGGGTAGAAGTATTCAGCCCTGGTGGTCTTGTCATGGAAGAGGCCATCGCCAGGACGAATATTCACCTGGTGGATGTGGGCTGAGGCCCGGGCCTTGTCATACCTGCAGATAAGGGGGGATCCACTCTAAGATCAGATGGATCTGATATGGGCCCTGTCAGCTCCCAGGAAGTGGGAGAGGGGCAGGCTTCCCAAAGGCCAGGCTGCGGGGCGCTAATGGTGGGAGATCTGGCACAATGGTGGGCCTTGCTTGGAGGTGAGGGAGGCCCACGGTATTGGCACACGCCTCATGTCGCTGAGAGTCCTTTGCTCCGCCCTGGTGGAAGGCCACGGTCCCTTTGTACCTGGCTGGGGGCAGACCCTGGGGCCCGTAGGCTTGTTTCTGCTCCGAGCACGTGGGCCCATAGCCCATCTTGAAGTCTCCCAGCTCCACACTGGAGGAGGCCTGTGGGTGGACGGACGTGGCAGCACGACCCAGCCCCCGCCACTGCCCTCCCCAGCAGCACCAGCCCCACCTCGATTTACCCTCTTACACATCGAGGCAGGTGGGCCTGGCAGGGCCTGGAACTGTCTCTGGTAGGAGGTCCCATTGTCCTGTTTCCTGTGGTCCCGCTGGAGTGTGTTGACGCCCCCTGAGGATGAGCAAGAGTAGAGAGAGAACAACAGTGATTCCTTGCAGCCTCAGGCCCACTGGGGTTCGATTCCTCGCCTGGAGAGAGGAGGTGGGCAGTCCTGACTAGCCTCACCTGAGGGCTGTGTGGAAAACACCAGAACAATACAAATAATGATAACAAGAGTAACTACCGCGATACCTGCTGAGAGCCAGGAATCTAGACTAAGGGCTTCGAACCTCATTTGGGAGATAGTATTATTCTCCCCACTCTACAGCCTTCCTGAGGCTCAGAGAGATCAAGTGACTTGCCGGAAGTCACAGAAACCCAAAACCAAACTGAGTCCAATCCAGATCTGATAATCCCTGAGTCCAGCTCGGAGGGACTCTTGACTAGTGATGTCCACGGGCAGGTCCGCAGGAGTCACAGAATTGGAAAATCACACAACAGCAGCTAGTCTTTTTTGAGCGGTCACTGTGTGCCAGATGCACGAGAGTGACCGCAAGAGCCCTCTGAGCTCTTTTCGCTTCACCAGCTCCTATGAAGCGGGGGCGCTCTTGTTGCACCCATTTTGCAGATGAGGAAACTCGAGACTTGGACTGGTCGACTTCCTCAGGCTCACATAACTACTATGGTGGCAGGGCCGGGATGTGTGTGTGTGTAGGGGGGAGGACACTTAGCAGATTTGTCTGTCCCCAAGCCACCATTCATGACTTCTGCCCATGCCACAGTCCCTTGAAAAACTTCAGGAGCTATGCCATTCAATGAATGTAGAAACTGAGGCTCAGGGAAGTTCTAGGGTTTCTCAAGCTTGGCATTATTGACATTTAGAGCTGGATAATTCTTTACTGGGGCCAACTACCCTGTGCGTGGTGGGGTATGTTTAGCAGCATCCCTGGCCTCCATTCACTTCCTGCTAGTAGTACCCCTTCCGCGGGTCGTGACAACCAAAATGATCTCCAGGCTTTGCCAACTGTCCCTTGGGAGAGGGCGCAGAATCCCCGCCGGACTTGAGAAGCTCGGGGTTGGCAAATCGCGCGTGGGGCGCGTGGGCGCGCTCACCGAAGTGGCTGCAGGGCGCGCGGGGTCGCGGGCACGCGTCTCGGGGCGGGAAAAACTCCTGGTAGGTGGTGGGCGGGATGCGCATCTTGGCTCGGTCGCCTGGAGGCACCGAGTCGCGGTCGAAGATGAGGCGCGCGCCGCGGATCTGCTCGCGCGCGCGCGCCGGCAGGTCGGGCCAGCCGAAGTCGGCGCGCGCGGTGGAGAGGCCGGTGCGGGGGCGCGCGGGCGCGAACACGCGCAAGTTGCTGGCCTGCATGGCGAGGGTGCGCTCCCGCGTCCCCGACGGCGCGGACGGCTGCGGCGCCGGTGGCGCGAACGCGCGGTGCGCCTCCGACCTGAGCTCCGCGCCGGCCGCGCGCGCGTCCCGTTGGAAGAGGGACCCGCGGGGCGGCTCCTGGCACGGCAGCGCGCGCGCGACGCCCGGGTAGGCCGGGAAGTGCTGGTGCGACGTGGGGTGCATGGCGTCCACGTGCAGCCGCGGGTCCGGCCCCAGTGCAAAGTGTGAGGCCTTGAGGAAGTCCAGCCGCGACATCGGGCGTGGCAGGAGGGCAACCGGGGCCATCGCGGGACTAGACACCACCTGTGCGGGGGCCGGGGGGGACGCAGATATGAGACTGAGCAAGTGTCCGCCTGAGGACAATGCTGCTTTTATTCCTTCCTGTGCGCCAGGCACTGGGCATGGGGGGTGGGGGTGGGGCTGGGGACTTCGTCAAAAACAGGCCCAGGGGCGCCTGGGTGGCTCAGTCTACTCGGCATCCGACTTCAGCTCAAGTCATAATCTCATAATCTCCTGGGCTCTGCCTGGCTGGGAGCGCTGTGGTGACAGCAGGGACCCTGGAGCCTGCTTCGGATTCTGTGTCTTCCTCTCTCTCCCCCCCCTCCCCTGCTCCTACTGTTTCTCTCTCAAAAATAAATCAACATTGGGGCGCCTGGGTGGCTCACTCCGTTAAGCCTCTGACTTGGGCTCAGGTCATGATCTCACAGTTCATGGGTTCGAGCCCTGCATCAGGCTCTGTGCTGACAGCCAGCTCAGAGCCTGGAGCCTGCTTCAGATTCTGTATCTCTCTTTCTGTCTCTGACCCTCCCCTGCTCAGGCTGTCTGTTTCTCTCTCAGAAATAAATAAAACATTAAAAAAATAAACATTAAAAAAACAAAAAATAGGCTCAGCCCCTGTGCCTGTCCCCAGGGGAAGTAGAGCTATAAGCATTCATTTGGCACTTACTGTGTGCCAGGTCCTGTTCTAGGTCCTTGGGAGTAGGAACATCAAATAACAAAACAGACCAAGAGCCAGTGCTCCCGTGGAGTTGATAATGGGGGTGACTGACAGTGCCGGGTAAATACAATACTATAAATTGTGGAGTTAGTAGAAGGAGCTAAGCACTGTGGTTAAAACCATCACGCAGCATAGGAGGGTAGCAGTGAGGGAAGGAGGGCTGCAGTTTTAAATACGATTGTGTCACTGAGATGACAGTTGAGTAAAGACCTGGAGAATGTGGGAGAGGAGCACGTGGGGACCTGGGGGAGTAGCATTCCAGGCAGAAGGGACAGCAGACACCAGTGCAAGTGAGCGACAAGAAGGACCGAAGAATCAAGCCCTGCAGGGGCGCCTGGGTGGCTCAGTCGGTTGAGCATCCGACTTCCGCTCAGGTCATGATCTCATGGTTCGTGGGTTCGAGTCCCGCGCCAGGCTCCTGTGCTGACAGCTCAGAGCCTGGAGCCTGCTTCGAATCTGTGTCTCCCTCTCTCTGCCCCTCCCCTGCTCATGCTGTGTATGTCTCTCTCTCTCAGAAATAAGTAAAACATTGGGGCGCCTGGGTGGCTTAGTCGGTTAAGCGTCCGACTTTCACTTAGGTCATGATCTCGCGGTTCGTGGGTTCGAGCCCCGCGTCGGGCTCTGTGCTGACTGCCAGCTCAGAGCCTGGAGCCTGTTTCAGTCTGTGACTCCCTCTCTCTCTGACCCTCCCCTGCTCACGCTGTGTCTCTCTCTCTCTCTCCTAGAAATAAATAAAACATTAAAAAAAAAAAAAGATTATCGAATGGCAGCCTTGTCCCCTTGTAGTGGCTGCTTAAAAAAAAAAAAAAAGAAAGAAGTAAAACATTAAAAATTTTTAAGAAAGAATCAAGCCCTGCATTCTACAGTCTGTCTGACACAGGAGCCCCTTCTCCTCGCCCTCGGGTAGTGGTCAAGGCCACAGCCCTCCCCCCTCCATGTCTGGGAACTTCCATCTCTGCTCAATCCTGGCCACCACGCCAACTCCGCCACCCACCTCCTCACCATTGTCCTGCGTGCTGACTGCTTTCCCAGATCTCTTCCTATCCTGAAACTCTCTGAGGCCTAAAAACCTCTCTGCACCTCTCTGATCTCCAGCACGTGGCTCGCAGAACCCCACTTAGCTGACTGGGACATTCTTGCCTTTGCTCTGAGCAGAGGAATCTCCCCCACCCTGCTCCCAGCTCCTTGGAGAGCAGTCCCCTTAGGAGCCACGGCAGGCTCCCCCACCTCCCCCCCCACCCCCGCCCCAGACCAGTCAGCTCACAACTGGCTCATGTCGACCCCTTTAGGAAACAGGACCCATGGGGTGCCTGGGGGGCTCAGTCAGTTAAGCATCTGACTCTCAGTTTCAGTTCAGGTCATGATCTCAGGGTTTTGTGGGTTCGGGCCCCACGTCTGGCTCTGTGCTGGCAGCTGGGAGCCTGTGTGGGATTCTCTGCCTCCCTCTCTCTCTGCCCTTCCCCAGCTCGCGCTGTCTCTGTCTCTCTCAAAATAAATAAATAAACTAAAAAATTAAAAAAAAGAAAAAGAAGAAACGAGAAAACAGGGGTCAAGCATTTAACAAACCACAGATGTTCAGAGACTACATTTGCTTCTTTGATCGTTTTGACACCTGAAATAATTGAGAGTCGAGAAATTTCCAGTGGTTTATGGAGAATCTAACAGTTGAAATTACTAGCTAGGTCACCTTGGGGTAAGTAAGTGGGCTCCTGTGGGCTTCAGTTTCCACATCAGGGGTGAGCGTATGGCACCTACCTCAAGGGGTGACATGGGGACTGATGAGTCTTGGAAAATGCCCTTGGCAACCGGCCTGACCCGCTAGACGCCCTCTGTCCCCGGTGTCCCAGAAGATGCTCATATGTTCCTTCCAAGGCTGCATCCCTGGGTGGTGCTGGTCTTGCCCATTGTGATCAAAGAGCTTCCCTCAATCAGCATTGTCACAATGGTCCCCAGCCACTCTGAGGGCAGCTGGGATGAACATCAGGAGTGAGGTCAGAGGATCCTGGCTCCGGAGGGCTCAAGAGAGTTTGGCAAGCGACTGGGTTGCTCGAAGCCTCGGTTTTATCATCTGGAAAATGGGGCTTCAGAAAGCAGCAGCGAGGATTTGAGGCAGGAGGCCGCTGGTGTTGGTTATTATCGCTTCCCTCAAGTTTTCCTGCTTGTCTGCTTCCCAGCACTCCCCACGTGGGACGAGCCAACATCTCTGGTCTTTGAGTCGCTGCACTCATTGGTGTCATTCCGGGGCTCACAGACATCCCAGGTGCCCCTCAGGATGCCAGTGGCGCCCCAGCCCAGCGACCATCAGGAACACGCCTAAGGCTGACCAGATCCAAGCTTGTCACTTGGGACCCCGAGGGAGAACAGTCTCTGGGGAGCGGTGGGTAGGAGCCGGAGCGGGCCTGTCTTCCCTTGGGCTTGTGTTCTGTGCTTCCGGGAAGTTCAAGGACATGGGTCTTGGCATCGCAGGTTTTTACTGCTGGGAAATTTGACTTTCTTTTCGGAGATGATCTGACAATGAAAATAATACATAAAACAGTAGGAAAGAGGGAAATGAGGAGTCAGTGTTTCATCGGGACAGAGGTTCGGTTTGGGTAGATGGAAAGTTCTGGAGGTGGATGGTGGGGACGGTCGCATGACAGTGTGAATGTGCGTAATGCCACTGGGCAGTACATTTAAAAATAGTTAAGATGGTCGATTTTATGTCATGTATATTTTACCACAATATATAAATAACATTTTTTTTAAAAAAATTTATTTCTAGGAGAGAGACAGAGAGAGAGACAGCGTGAGCAGGGGAGGGTCAGAGAGAGAGGGAGATACAGACTCTGAAATAGGCTCCAGGCTCTGAGCTGGCAGTCAGCACAGAGCTCGACGCGGGTCTCGAACCCACGAACCACGAGATCATGACCTAAGCGAAAGTCGGATGCTTAACCGACTAAGCCACCTAGGCGCCCCTATAAATAACATTTTTATTTATTTTTATTTTTTAATGTTTATTTTTGAGAGAGAGAGACAGAGACCAAAGTGTGAGCGTGGGAGGAGCAGAGAGAGGGGGAGACACAGAATCAGAAGCAGGCTCCAGGCTCTGAGCTGTCAGCACAGAGCCCGACGTGGGGCTTGAATTCACAAGCAGTGAGGTCATGATCTGAGCCAAAGCCGGACGCTTAACTGACTGAGGCACCCATGTGCCCCTCAATAAATAATACTTTTAAATGGAATTTTATTTTAAACATTTTAAATGTTTCAGTTGGTTGATCAAATCATCCGACGTTTGATTTCAGCTCAGGTCATGATCTCACAGTTGGTGAGTTCGAGCCCTACATCGGGCTCTGCGCTGACAGTGGGGAGCCTGCTCGGGATTCTCTTTCTCTCTCTCTCTCTCTCTCTCTCTCTCTATGCCCCTCTCCCCTGCCTGCTCTCTCTCTCTCTCTCAAAAAATAAATTAAATTAAAAATAAAAAAATGAGGGGCGCCTGGGTGGCTTAGTCGGTTAAGCGTCCGACTTTCGCTTAGGTCATGATCTCGCGGTTCGTGGGTTCGAGCCCCGCGTCGGGCTCTGTGCTGACTGCCAGCTCAGAGCCTGGAGCCTATTTCAGTCTGTGACTCCCTCTCTCTCTGACCCTCCCCTGCTCACGCTGTCTCTCTCTCTCTCTCTCTCCTAGAAATAAATAAAACATTAAAAAAAAAATAAAAAAAATAAAAAAATGAAATAAAGTTTAGGGCCCCAGTTCATGACCACAAATCAACTATTAAATAGGTTCTTTCCTTCCTCCTTCCTTCCTTCCTTCTCTCTCTCCCCCCCCCCTCCTTTTTGAGATATAATTGGCATATAACATTGCCTATGTTTGAGATGCACAACATATTGATTTGATACATTTATACTGCAATATGATTGTCACTGTAGCTAATACCTCCCCAGGGCTTATTCCCTGAGTGGGTTTCATCTCATTAACTTGAACCAAATTGTTTCGTGGTCCGTGTGTGTGTGTGTGTGTGTGTGTGTGTGTGTGTGTCCCCTCAGTGGCTCCCCTGCCTGGAGGCTAGGGTGTTGGGCCCAGCCAGGCTGATGCAAATACACATTTCAGCCTCCTCCTTCTATCTGCTGGGAGGAGGAGGACCCCCCCGGGGCGGATCCTGGAGGCTGTCGGAAAGGGAGGGGGTGGGGGGGTGAGGAGTGGGGAGGTAATTCTGTTAGAGGATCTTCGTGTTTCTCAGAAAGTCTAAGGAAAGAAGCAAGAACAGAGCTGTCACTGGTAAAAAGAACAGCGGTGGCTCAGACCCTCCAGGAAAAGCCAACGTCTGGGCGCTGCTGGGGTTTGGACAATGCCCATGTTATGCCTGCCTTCAGCTTGTTTTGTCTCGTCCCCCCACGGTCACCGAGTGGCCTTGCCAGTGGTGGCGTTCTGCGGAATTATTTATGTCTAGCAGGAGCACACCAGGGCCTAGCCGGGAAGGCCAGCTCCTCGCAACAGCAAGGCCGGCTGTGAATGCCAGTCTGGCTCCCGTCTCGCTCTCTCAAAGGTCAAGCTCGGCCCTAGCCAGATGGCGGAGGACGCCGGGAGGCTTGGACAGCAAGACTCACTGCTGTGTGCTCGGTGCCTGGCACAGCGCCGGGCACCCGGCGGCACACGGAGGAATGCACTGTGCTGTCACGAAGCTGTCAGGGGCAGCCGGGGCTCGAGACAAGGGATGTGGCCCCTCATTCGGCCCAAGACCCGCTTCCATCTGCAGGCTTTGGCCGTGGCTGGGATTTTGTCTGCTGCAGAAACCATGTCCCTAGTTGGTGGGTGAGGGGCACACAGATGTCTGTACCCGAGTCTTAAGCAAGGAGGGCTGTGGTCAGATGTGGGGGGTAAAGAGTCTCCTGAGATGTTGTAGGGAAGGCAGACCTGGGGCTTGGGGGCCGGGGGGAAAGAAGGTGGGCTGCCTGTGGAGGGGGCTGTGGGCCGGGAGGAAGTGCATGAACTTGAGTGATATTTTGGTGACCTCGGGACGTGGGAGGGGTGTGTGTGGGGAGAAAGAGGCGAGTGTGATGTCCAGGTCTGTGACTGGGTGGCTCCGTGGCTGGCGGGGGAGCCCCGAGATGGGGACACGGAGAGCAAGGTGTTCGGGGATGACACAACAGTCAGCCTGGGACTTGCCGAGCATGGGGATGGGGTTTGTGGATGAGCAGGTGGGAGCAGGAGTCAGGTCAGGATTGAGGAGGCATGGGGACGGGGGCACCTGGGTGGCTCAGTCGGTTAAGTGTCCGACTTCGGCTCCGATCATGATCTCACGGTTCATGAGTTCAAGCCCCGCAGCGGGCTGTCAGCACAGAGCCCGCTTTGGATCCTCTGTCCCCCTCTCTCTCTGCCCTTCCCCCACTCACACTCTCCGTGTCTCTCTCTCTCGAAAATAAAATAAAAACATTAAAAAAAAAAAAAAGAGTCATGAGGGAGAGGCCAGCAAAGGGGTGGCCAGGGAATTCGTGGGAGTAGATGAGGTTTCCTTGGATAGTGTGGATGGAGCACTGAGCAGGGAGCTGAGCCTCTCAGGCTATCGCCCTTATTGAGAACCTGTTTTGTGCCAGGCTGTGGGGACATAGCTGTGACCAAAACAGATCAAAGTTTTCACATTCTTTTGAGGGACAAAAAACTAGACAGCCAGATAAAGAAGCAAAATAGTTATGTTACATACTAGTACAAGCTAAGGAGAAAAATAAGGGATCAGGAAATGTGAGTAGGAAGTACACAGGACGGTGTGAGGGGAGGTCCCACCAGAAGATAGATGATGTTCCAGTAAACATGAAGAAGAGGTGAGGGAGGGAGCCATGTGGAAATCTGGAGGAAGAGCATTCTAGGCAGAGGGCACAGCTAATGCAAAGGCCCTGGGGCAGGAGTGTACTGTAACTTGAAGGACCAGGAGGAAGGCAATGTGGTTGGAAAGAAAGGAGTGAGGCAACAAGAGAAACAGAAGTTGAAATCAAGGGGAAACATTCTGTAAAAGGCAACCGGTCAACATCATTAATCACTAGGAAACCCAACACAAAGCTATAGTGAGATATCCCGTCACGCCTAATAGAATGGCCATAATAGTAATGATAAAGCAAAATGAAAGTGTTGGCAAGAATGTGGAGAATGCTGCGCACTGCTGGTGGGAGTGCAAAGTGGTGCAGCCCATGTGGAAAAGTCTGGTAGAGCCACCATATGACCCAGCTGTTCCATTCCTGGGTATCTATCCAAAGGCACTGAAGGTGAAGGCAGGGACTTGAACTTGACCAGATACACCCAAAGCCCTGTTCATAGCAGCATTATTCACAACCGCCAGAACGTGGACACAACCCGTGTCCGTCAGTGGCTGAACAGATACACAAAATGTGGTCAACCCATCCAGTGGAATAGGACTCAGCCACGGAAGGAATGAGGTGCTAATATAAGCTACAATGTGGATGAACATTAGAAACATTATGCTAAGTGAAAAGCCAGACACAAACGGTCACATATTGCACTCTTCCACTTATGTGAAATACCCAGAATAGGTAAATCCCCAGAGACAAAGCAGATGGTGGTTGTTAGGGGCCGGGGCAGGGAGGAATAGACAAAGAGCTTGCCAGAATTACAGGGTGTCCTCTGGGGGTGAAATTATTTTAAAGCTACAAAGGGGTAATGTTTATACAGCACGGGAATGTCCTAAATGCCACTGCATTATACATCTTAAAGTGGTGAAGCTCTTTTTTCATGTTTATTTTGAAAGAGAGAGAGAGAGAGTGAGAAAGAGAGAGAGAGAACTCGAGCAGGCTAGGGATAGAGAAGGAGAGAGAATCCCAAGCAGGATCCACACTGTTAGTGCAGAGCCGGACACAGGGCTCAATCTCAGGAACTGTGAGATCGGGACCTGAGCCGAAATCGAGTCAGACGCTTAACGGACTGAACCACCCAGGTGCCCCTTAAAATGGTGAATCTTCTATGAATTTTACCTCAATTAAAGCCTGGGTGGTTCAATCGGTTACGCCTCCCACTCTTGATTTCGGCTCATGTTGTGATCTCACCGTCAATCTCAATCGAGCCCTGTGCCAGGCTCTGAGCTGGGCATGAAGGCTGCTTGGGATTGTCTCTCTCTCTCTGCCCCTTTCCCCCACTCACTCTCGCTCTCAAGAAAAAAAAAAAAAGGAAATGAATCATGTTAACTTTTTGAAAAATTTCATCTCTTTGATGAGATTATACACGCATGTGGCACAAAATTCAAAAGCTACGAGATGATTAAACTCACTGTATCTGTGGCTCAGGCCTCTAGGCTGCTGCCTGGAACCCACACAGTGACGTTTATCAAACTGGGGCCCGGAGGGAAAGCTACAAACCGGTACAATGTGTACAATGTGGCCTCTTCCCGGCCACGCAGTCAGTGACCCTCTTTGGAGCCACCAGACTATATCGCCTTTTCCAGAACAGTTCTAGGAGTTTCCTTAACTTCCTAGGAATGCCTTATATGATATTACACCAGCTGCGCATGTTCACTATTGACCTGCTGACAACAGCCGTAAGGGTGAAGCTCAGAAATTAAAAAGAAAAATCCCTTCTTGAATCAGAGCAAACAGGTCGATGCTCTTGCCTGGATATTATTTTTGTGGGTAGGTGGTTGACTTTGAAAAGAGCAGCCGTCGCGGGGCAGAAGGCAGCGGGCTCGGAGCCATCTGGGCGCACAGGCGACAGCCACTCGGCTGCAAAACCCGACGCTCCGCGGGGCAGACAAAGGGCCGGCCCAGGGACAAAGGGTCGCGGCCGCGCCTGCGCAGAGCGCCTTCTAAGGGGCGTGGCCTCCCTCCTTGGCTCCGCCCCCTGGCGCCGCGCGTCAACGTCACGGTGCGACCAGGCGGAGTTGCCATGGCGGCGCTGAGCGGCGTGGCGTCGGCGCTGGAGTCTTACAGGGGCCGCGACCGCCTGGTGAGGCTGGGGCGGAGCGCGCTCGGAGGTCTCGGACCAGGGCCAGAGCTCAGAGACGGGAAACTGAGGCCAGAGAGGGGCGGGGTCGCTCAAGATCCTCGGTCGCAGAGGCCTTCCCCGCCTGGGCTCCGACCCTGTCCCCTGGCGGTGGACATTAGATTGTTCCTGCCAGCCTGTCGTGGCAGGATATTTTCAGTACCAACCAAATCCGCACGTTTGAACTGTTGGGGTCCGACCAGACCGCTGAGGATGGTCACTGGGTTGTCCCGGTCACAGGACTTAGGGTGTTGCCGGACGCCTTCTACGGCTGGACATTTAGGTTGCGACCACATCCCCTGTAATTGGGCTCAGAGGCTGTGCCAGTCAGCTCAACCTGGCTGGACATTTCCATGTGTGAACAGTTAGGCCGCTGCAGTTGGTCCCAGGATTGTCCCTCACAATCTCCTACAGGGACTTAGGATTTTGTAGGGCTTTCCCCGTGTTTGGATGTTTAGGTTCCTCCCACATACCCTCTGGTTGGGCATTTAGGGTCCATCCAGGCCCTTGAGGGCAGACTCTCAGTTTGTTCCTACGTAAGCGTCCTTCTTTTATAGGGAGGTTTCGGTTGTACCCGGAAATGCACCAGGGGAGCAGTTGGGTTCCAACCAAATCCCTTATGATCAGGCATTCAGGTTTTAATAAATTCCCAAGCTGGACATTTAAATTGCAGAGTTTTGCTATTAAAAGGGACTGCAAAGAAACGAGAAGCAACAATATATGAAACAACAGGAAAAGCAATTTCTGAAAAACAGATGAAGCACAGGTAGAAGGTGTGAAGCCGAGCCAGTTCACAATGTCCCCAGTCAGCCACCGAGTGAATTCCTTTTATCACGAAGTAATTCAAGCAAAGTGCCCTTTTGCTCACGGGGCTGAGGCCGGATCACTTCCAGTGTGGACTTTGGTCCAGCTGGGCAGATGCAGATGTACACGGCCGCCTGGTCCTCCAGCTTGCTGGGAAAAGGAGGAACCGCAGGATGGGAAATGGTCTCATCTTCTTGTCCATGTCCCATCTGTCTCCAAAGGGAGGGTGACACGAGCCAGCACTCCCTTTGAGTGTCCACAGTGAGTTTTGGACAGTGACGTCATGTTTTTCCGTTCGGCCCACCTGCAAGTATCGCTTTAAACTTTCAGCTTTCATTGGAAGTTTGTTGATCTAATCTTACCCTGCCCCCAACTTGGTCCTGTGGGACCCACGGCCGCGCGGAGCCGATCTAGCTCATTCCGGGAGCAGGGCCGTGCTGACTGCTTCTGCTTTCCCACAGATCCGAACGCTGGGGTACAGCTGCCAGCTGGTCGGTGGGGTACTGGTGGAACAGGGTCCAGCCAGGTCAGAAGTGGGGACGCGCCTGCTGACACTGTCATCCCAGCTCAGCCACTGTAGGACTGTCCTGCGACTCTTTGACGATGTGGCCATGTTTATCTACACGAAGCAGTATGGCCTGGGGGCAGAGGTAAAGGGGCCGTAGAGAGGGAGGCGCAGACTGGGGCAAAAACGGGTGTTTTCTGGACTCTTCTGAAAGCAGTTGCATGGGCAGTTTATTGGTTTTTTTTTTTTTTAATGTTTTATTCATTTCTAGGAGAGAGAGAGAGAGACAGCGTGAGCAGGGGAGGGTCAGAGAGAGAGGGAGTCACAGACTGAAACAAGCTCCAGGCTCTGAGCTGGCAGTCAGCACCGAGCCCGACGCGGGGCTCGAACCCACGAACCGCGAGATCACGACCTAAGCGAAAGTCGGACGCTCAACCGACTAAGCCACCCAGGCGCCCCAATGTTTTTTGTTTTTTTTTAAGTTTATTTATTTATTTTGAGAGAGCGAGTGAGCAGCAAGATGCAGAGAGAGAGAGGAAATCCCAAGCAGGCTCTGCGCCGTCAGCACAGAGCCTGATGCTGGACTTGAACTCCTGAACCTCGAGAACATGACCTGAGCTGAAACTGAGAGTTGGACGCTCAACCGAGCGAGCTACCCAGGAGCCCTGGCAGTTTATTGTTTTTTTAAAAAAATTTTGCTTTCTTTTTTGGGATGACCACATGTTCCTGTTTTAATTTAAATTAAAAAATAGCTGGGGCGCCTGGGGGGCTCAGTCGGTTAGGCGGCCGACTTTCGGTTAGGTCATGATCTCGCGGTTCGTGGGTTCGAGCCCCGCGTGGGGCTCTGTGCTGACTGCCAGCTCAGAGTCTGGAGCCTGTTTCAGAGTCTGTGACTCCCTCTCTCTCTGGCCCTCCCCTGCTCACGCTGTCTCTCTCTCTCTCTCCTAGAAATGAATAAAACATTAAAAAAAAATTTAAAAAAAAATAAAAAAATTTTGCTTTCTTTTTTGGGATGACCACATGTTCCTGTTTTAATTTAAATTAAAAAATAGCTGGGGCGCCTGGGGGGCTCAGTCGGTTAAGCATCCGACTCTTGCTCAGGTCGTGATCTCATGGTTCATGGGCTCGAGCCCCGCATCTGGCTCTGGGCTCTCTTTCAAAAGAAATAAACTGAAAAAACAACAGCCCATACATTCATACATTCCGAAAGGCTATACAGGCTATTCGTAGACTAAGTAGTCTCCCTCCTTCCTGATCCCCTCTTTCCTGGTTTGTCTCCTCAGACGCAGCCCTTCTCAGCTTTTTGTGATTGCTTCATGAGATCTGTACACGCACAGGCAAATACACATTGTTTACCTAGTGAGCTGTGTGCCGCTTACACCGTTCGGCCACTTGCTTTTTTCACTTAACCAGCACAACTTGGGGGTCACCCCGTCTCAGTCCAAACAGAGCCCCCTCCGTTGTAGCCACCTGGAGCCCTGCTGTGTGGCTGGCTCGTCCCCTGTTGATGGACGCGGAGGGTTGGCCATTACAACAGCGCTGAGGCCCCGCGATCTCGAGCAGTGTTCCCTGCACGTGGGACCATCTTGTCCCCTCCCAGGGGCCATTTCCCCAGGGGATGGGCTCAGAAGCCGCCTGGGGCCAGCCTGGCCAAGCCATGCCCCTCCCTGGGCTGCCCTGCCCGCCCCCTCCTCTCCCCCTTCCCTTCTCTGAGCCGCTCCATGTTCAGACACGCCCACCCTCGCTCCACCCCAGTGCCCATGGCCCAGGCACTCCAATCTCAAGTGCTTTCCTGGACCTCCCCCCTGTTTTGACGCCCATCTCCTACCTTCTTTGATTAGGGCATGCTTCCCATGTGCCCCCGGAGGATCCCCCTCCCCCATCTCCTTGCCCAGAACAAGAACTCCTTTGCTGGGTCCAGTGTTTATGTGTCTGTGCCCCCTGCCCTGTGAGTATCTCTTCCCCGGTGTAGGGCCTTGACCTTGCTGCTTCTCTGGGGACACTGTGGAATGTGCACATCAGGACGGGCGGGGAGGGCCCTGCTCCCATGGAGGAGTGGAAGGTGCCAGGGCACCAGAAGACCCCAGGCAGGCTAGGGGAGCTGGAGTGGGGTTCAGAACCCAGAGGGAGGCAGGGTCACAGCTGGCTAGTAGGGAGGAAGGGGGCAGCCTCATCAGGCATTGGTGGGGCGGGGGCTCCTGGGAAGATGGAGAGAAGAAGGAGAGGTATGGTAGGCTGCTTGGAGGCCCCCAGGGGGTCAGATCCCGAGGGGCGGGGCCCAGGAATATAGCCTGAGGACCAGGCTCCCGAAGCCTTAACTGGATAAGGCTGTGGCTCAGTATTCAGGGTTGAAGGGCTTGGTTCTGCCATCTGAAGGCCTGAGGCCTGTGCTTGTATGAGAAGGGGCCCGTGGCAGCTCACCCCAAGTGCTCCAGTTTGCCTGTTTGTGGGGATGGTGTCCCCTGTCTGGTTTGGGGCGGCGACCCAAGCCTTGCAGCCTAGTGCCTGTTTACTGTGAGCATTGAGTGTGCAGCAGCCTGGTGTTAGAGCAGCACCCGCCCGAACCCGTCACGGCTCTCGCTGGGCCATCCGGGAACTCAGAAGACATTCCTGGGGGCGCCAGCGTGGCTCAGTCGGCTGAACGTCCGACTTTGGCTCAGGCCATGATCTGGCTGAGTTTGAGCCCCGAATAGGGTTCTCTGCTGTCAGCTCGGAGCCAACTTTGGATCCTCTGCCCCTCCCCCCCTGCCCCCCCCCAGCTCGTGCTCTCTCTCAAAAATAAACATATATGTATATAAAAAACATTCCTGGTGCCAGTGTTCACCCCAGGCCTAGTGAGGCAGAAACCCTGGGGCTAGAGGTGGTTTTAAATTTTTTTTTAAATGTTTTATTTTTATTTTTGAGAGAGAGAGCATGAGCGAGGGAGGGGCAGAGAGAGAGAAAGGGAGACACAGAATCCAAAGGAGGCTCCGGGCTGTCAGCACAGAGCCCATTGTGAGGCTGGACCTCACGAACCGTGAGATCATGGCCTGAGCTGAAGTCAGACGCTTAACTGTAGGGCCACCCAGGCGCCCCTAGAGGTGGCGCTGTTGAAGCTCCCCAGGGACTCCCAGTGCAGCTAATGGGACACCTGCTGTTGCCCTGGGCGATGACCACACTGCTGGGAAGCAGACATCGGGCCTTTCTCCTGCAGCGGCCCAGCCGCGGGCCAGCCTGCCGGGCCTGGACGTTGCCCTGTGACTGCCACCTGGCCTGGTCTGGGTCCCTGAAATGGGCCTGGGTAGGTCCGACTCCAGGCTCATCCCCAGTTCTCTGCTGTTCCTACAGGGGGAGGACATCTTTGTCCGCTGTGTGTCCGTCCTGGGCAACCTGGCCGACCAGCTCTACTACCCCTGTGAGCACATCGCCTGGGCTGCCGATGCCAAGATCCTCAGCGTGGACTCTGCCCGGTGGTGGACGCTGAGCACAGCCTTCTGGGGCCTCTCCCTGCTCCTGGGCATCGCCAGGTAAGTGGCGGCAGCGCCTGCCAGCAGGCGGCATGGGGGCGCCGAGACCCGGGCCGATGGGCAGAAGGGCTGGAGGCGCGAGGGCCTTTGCCTCTTCCCATCTTCCTGTTTTTCTCCATCCCCGGATCCGTCCCCCAGCGGCTGCCCTGACAGATTCCCACAAAGGGTGGCTTCAGACATCACACACTGATGTCGCCGGGCTGGGGGGCGGACGTCCAATATGGAGTCCCCCGGCTAGAAATCCAGGTCACGCCTTCGGGAGGCTGCAGGGGACCGGCTTCTAGAGGCCACTGCCCTGCTCGCCTCGTGGCCCCTCCTTCCATCTCAGGGCCTGTCCCTCCAGCCTGCGTCCTTTGTCACATCTTCTCAGACTCTGACCCCGTGCGCCCCTCTTCTGAGTGTCATCCCAGGGCCGCCTAGGTCACCTCCTATCTCAAGACCCTTAACTCAGTCCCACCTGCAGAGCCTGTTTGTGGCGCGTAAGGGAGCACACTCACAGGCCTTGGGGACTAGGAGGGGGACATCTTTGGCACATGCGCGCTTGTGCCCGCCGGAGCCAGGAAGCCCAGGCCTGGTCAGAAGTCGCAGGTGTGGCTGCCTGGCCCCGGGTCTCTCTGTGTGTGTGGCCATCGGCACACATCCCTGACACAGCAGCCAGGGGCTTCCTGATTGGAACCCCATACAGTTTCTAGAATTGTAAAAGAATGGTTTTCTCTCAAACAGTTTCCTCTCTGTAAATTTGCTGAGTGGGTGTGCTCAGAATCCCCCTCCCTGTTCCGGCGCTTCCCAGCAGACGCCTCTCAGATCGCCGAAGGGAGGGGGCAGTGCCCACGCCAGCTGTCACTTGTCCCTGGGCAAGACACTGGCGCTCAGTAGCCCTTGTTTTCCCCCTGCTACCCGTGCCCTGACTACACTCTTCTCATCGATGGTCTGAAAGATGAACAAACCCCAGAGTGGAAAACACACACAGGCCGTGTACAGTCCTAAGGCAGAGGCCCCTCTCGGCATTGCTGATTCTTCCCCGGCTTTGGTCTCGCACCCTGCCGACATGCACACCAGGCTCCTTCTTGATCTAGGCCCCCCCTCCCGGCCGTGGGCCTTATGCCTGGACAGCTTGCCTAGTCTCTCTGGGCGTCGGCCTTCCCCATGAGCTTGGGGACCCTGGCAGGCACCCAGCTATGCTGAAGCTCCCAGCGGCTGGCTCACGGCCTCTCCTCAGTACTGGGGACCTCTGGCCCCAAGAGACTTCCCGTTCCTGTTTTAGGGCGGCCTTGGTTCCGTTAATTTTATAAAAATTTAATTTTTTATTTTCTTTTTTAAGGCTTATTTAAAACATTTTTTTAATGTTTGTTTATTTTTGAGAGAGAGAGAGAGAGAGACAGGGTGTGAGCAGGGGAGGGGCAAAGAGGGAGACACAGACTCTGAAGCAGGCTCCAGGCTCTGAGCTGTCAGCACAGAGCCTGACATGGGGCTCGAACTCACGAACCGTGAGATCATGACCTGAGCCAAAGTCAGACGCCTGATTGAGCCACCTAGGCGCCCCTACAGCTTATTTTTTTTAAGTTTATTTTATGAAGTGGGGGCGGCGGGGAGAGAATCCCAAGCAGGCCCGGAGCCCAGTGTGGGGCTTGAAATCACAAACCATGAGACAATGATCTAAGCCGAAATCAAAAGTCGGACGTTTAACCGACTGAGCCACCCTGGTGCCCCTCGTTAACTATTCTTTAAAGATTTAACAATTTTTAAGTAATCGCTACATCCAACGTGGGGCTCAAGCTCACAACCTTGGGATCAAGAGTTGCACACTCCAGTGACTGAGCCAGCCAGGCGACCCGGTTCTAGTAATTTAAAAAAATTTTTTTAATGTTTTATTTATTTCTGAGAGAGAGAGAGAGAGAGAGAGAGGCAGTGTGAGCAGGGGAGGGTCAGAGAGAGAGGGAGATACAGAATCCGAAGCAAGCTCCAGGCTGTGAGCTGTCAGCACAGAGCCTGATGTGGGACTCAAACCCACGAACTGTGAGATCATGACCTGAGCTGAAGTCAGATGCTTAACTGACTGAGCCACGCAGGTGCCCCTCTGGTAATTTATTTTTATATATATATATATTTTATTTCTAGGAGAGAGAGAGACAGCGCGAGCAGGGGAGGGTCAGAGAGAGAGGGAGTCACAGACTCTGAAACAGGCTCCAGGCTCTGAGCTGGCAGTCAGCACAGAGCCCGACGCGGGGCTCGAACCCACGAACCGCGAGATCATGACCTAAGCGAAAGTCGGACAACCAACCGACTAAGCCACCCAGGTGCCCCACCTCTAGTAATTTTTAAAAAATATACTTTATTTTTAGAGTTTTGGGTTCACAGCCAAATTGAACCAAAAGTAAAGTGGGTTTTCCTAGATCACCACCCTCCCCATATCCCTCCATTATCAAAATCCCCCGCCAGTCGACAGACCCACATCAGCAAGTCCTCGGCGCCCGTCTGTGGTCCATGTTAGGATTCGCTGGGTGGCATGTTCTGTGTCCTTGCACAAATGCGATGACACGTGTCCACCGTTAGAGTATCACGGAGTAGCTGCACTGCCCTAAGGTCTTCTGTGCTCTATTTTTAGAACGTATACTTTTCCCATCATTTCTCCGTACTTGGTGTGAGCAAGTGTGAGGGTCACAACCAGGTGTCCTTAAGACTCAAGGCGCCAGGGAGGTTGTTGAAATGCAGATGCCCAGGTGCCTAGAGGTTCGGTTTCTCCTGGTCCGGGCACCCAGGGCCCAGGAATTGGCGTTTTGCCCTAGTCTTCCAGGTGGCTCTGATGCAGACCCACTTCCCTCACTGCAGGTACTGACCTGTGTCCCATAGTCTCTGGGGACACGTCACCTGGTCAGGTACACATGGCTGGCCCTGATAGCAGAAGCACTGGACGCTTCCAAATGTTGTGTGTGTGGACAGTCCGGGCAGGCCGGGGTCCAAGTCAGGAAGGAGTCCCTAGGCACAGCCAGGTCTGGAGTTCTGGGGGGGCGCGCAGGCTCAGCAAGCTTTACAGGGAGGCTGGGGCCGCAGTGGCAGTGTCTGTCGGGGTGGCGTTGGGAGCTCGGTCCTGCGTCCCCACCCTGCTTGTCTTGCCCCTCTGGTGGCACGTCCCCCACCCTCTCTGGTGTTGCAGGTCCTTGTGGATGGTCCTGAAACTGAGGCAGAGGCTGAGGAGCCCCACGGTGGCCTTCACCAGGTACGACATCCAGGGACGTTGGGAGTTTGGCCGGGAGAAGGCTGGCCCCATCCTGCAGCCTGGGGGCCCGGGTGGGTGAGCCTCACCCTCTGCAGGCCTGGGCAGGGGCGGCCGTGTGTGCTCCATCACGGGGGCCTACAGCAGCTCCAGGGGCTGGCACAGGTAGGGAAACTGAGGCTTGCTTGAGGCCCGGTAGGCAGGAAGTGGCTGAGCCTCCGTGGCTGCGCCCCCAGCAGGAAGGCTGATCCGAGACAGAGTTGTTTCTTGAGGACGGTGCTCACTGCGTGTTTCATCCGGGCTGGGAAGGAACGTGGGGCAAGGCCGCGGCCCCGCAGGCCCAGAAACTGCCCCCCTCCCTGCCCGTCTCCAGTGGCCGGAGGACCGAGGTGTGGATTTGACAGTTTCCGGGCCAGTCTGTGCCCTGTTCATGCCCTGGGCTCCATCGGGGGGTTTGACGGGGACTCAGTCCCACATTCTCCTACTCCTCCCAGCCTGTTTGGGGGAGTGAGGGCACTTGTGGGTCATTCACAGCACCTTCTCTTTGTCCCCACAGCCGGCTGCCCCGGAGCAAGAGGAAGGCCATGGAGGCCCGGGTCCAGTCGGAGGTGCTGACCCTCCTGAGCAACCTGGCCGACCTGGCCAACGCCGTGCACTGGCTGCCTCCGGGGGTCCTGTGGGCCGGCCGCCTCCCCCCGTGGCTGGTGGGCCTCCTGGGCACCATATCCTCCCTCCTCAGCGTGTACCAGGCTGTCTGGGCTGGTGACCGGGCCGAGGCCACCGCCCCCTGACGTGGCCTGGGAGCTGTGGATGCAACTGCAACCCTACTGGGGGGCCCCTTCCCAAAAGGCAGGAATTAGTCAGGCGGGGCCTGGGTCTTTAATTGAGTGAATCAACGCCAGGTGTAGGGAGGTATGACCGACAACGCTCCGAGCAGCCTTGGGGACAAGGCCAGGGGCGGGCAGGATGCAGGCAGAAGTGAGGCCCCCCCGCGTGCTGGGGGCCAGGGCCTTCCCAGCGCTGTGGGGGAGGCTTCCCTCAGGTCCGGAGCGGGGGGTCGCCAGGCCTTGCGTGCAGAGGAAACTCAGCAGACCCTCGCGCAGCCTGTGCCCCACATTCAAAGGGGAGTGGGAGAGCCCGGACGGCAGGTGCCAGGCAGGCCTCCGGGAAGCTGAACTGACGGTCGATTAAATGCCATGCGGGTGCGAGGCGTGAGCGTGAGTTCCTGTCTCCCTGGCTGCTGCCCCTCCCGCCTCTAGGCCTTCTTTTCCGAGGTGTGGAGGTGCCGCGGTGCCTGGAAACCACACCTCTGGAGCCCGCCTTCTGGAACACACTTGGCTCCATGGCCCCCTCCAACTCCGCACGCACAGCCCACTGGCCTGGCGCCGCCGTCAGCCGAGGTGGGCAGCTCTCCCGTCTCAAGCGCAGGGGCGCCGCCTCCCACCAGGCCGCGCCTGGGTCCTGCCCTCCTGGGCGTCCCCGGGGTGCTTGCGGTGGCTGAAGCATCTCCCACTCGGACAGCCTGGACCCGGGGCCGGTCTGAGTGCTTCGCGGGGGCCGAGCTGGGGCTGGGCCACGCAGCCTCCGGTCTCCCACTGCAAGGGCAGCAGGCAGACACCCACAGATGGTGGCCAGCCCACACCTGCCTCTGTGACATGTCCCTGGGCTCTCCACCCGAGTCCTTGTGGGAAGGCAGAGGGGAGCGTGCTCTCCCTTACATCCCGCGAGCACTGGAAAGATCCACAAAAAGTGGCAGTGTTTGCAGCCCCGGGGGCTTCACATGACAGCCACCACGTCGTTTCCTGAGGAAGCAATGTGGCAGGAAGGGCTGGGGGGGGGAGGACCACTCAGGGTGAGCACGGGGTGCAGAAGAGACCCACCTGTCCAGTCCACCTGGGGTTCACAGGTGGGGGGCGGGCCCGGCTCTTGGCCCTTAGCAGAGGCCCCCTTCCCAGTACTCGGGGCCCCCAGGGAGACTAGGGTGGGGGTCGCAGCAGCACCCGCTCACCTGCCTGGAGACTCAGGACTTGTAAGGCATTGCGAGCAGGGTGTCTGTGGGCAAACCACGGAACGCCAGCTGTTAACAGGTCACAGGTGCCCCAACAGTCTGGTGTCCCCGTGACCCCGGGACACGCTGCTGGGTGGTCAAGGGGAAGCCCCACCTGCAGTGGGGCCACACCCCCTGTGCAGCCTCTTCAGGTTGGGGGCACAAGCCTGTTCCTGGGAGCTGGGCCTAAGCGGGCTCTCCCGGGACCCGGGGGGCAGGGAGGCCGGTGGGCCTGGGGGACGACCCCAAGGCCAGCAGGCCCCACTCTGGGCAATGGCTCCTTGTCAAGAAGGCTGACATCCCAAGACCATGGGGACAGGTCTGAAAGTAAGGGGACGGTGCTGGATCAGGGAGGACTGCGGGGCTCCTACACCTCAGGCTTGTCTGGAAGGCTGCTGCTCCTGGGGCCCATGGCCGCCCCGGCCTCGCCACCGCCTCCAGGGTGGCCACCGCCTGGGGCATCCTCAGAGGGAACCCGGGCGGGCTGATGGGCCAGGCTCTTCTGTGAGGGGCGGGGCCAAGCTTGCCCAAGAGTCCCGGGGTCCCTGAGGCTACCACCCCAGCTGGGGGGCAGGGGAGTGTCAGCTGAGGGGGCTCCTACGGCGGCCCGGGCCAGTCTGCGGGGTCCCGGGCATGGAGTCCAGGCCTCCCCTAGGTCCTACTGCAGCAGAGAGGGTCAGGGGGCCCCGCCTGGGGAGGGGAGCCATGGAGTCCCCCTGCATAATCCACCGTTGACAGCTCTGAGGTCTGGGCAGCGAACCCTAAAACAAACCCCAATCCTCAAAGCAAACACTCCTGCCCACTCTTCTTTGACGCTTTTATTGCTGGAATCGGTTCTTAAGTTCTAAGACGGTTCTGAGAGACCCCGCGGTGAGGAAACGCTGCGATCGACGTAAGGGTAATTGTCGGGCGGACTAAGATTATGGTCACGATTAACAAAGACGTGCACAGACTCCACAGAGAGAGCATCTGTTCAACCACCAGCCACACAAGGAAAGTCGGGCTCCGCTCAGGGGTGACCTCTCGCTGGCTGGAGATGCACCGACTCTGCCCCGCTGCGTGGCATGACTGAGAAACCTCGGTCGCGCGGCGTAAGCCCTGAGTCCTGCCGGATGATGGGGGCAGAAACTCCTGGGGCTTCTCATCAGCTAAAGAATTGTGGCGTCTTGGAGGGTCGGACCTGAGCGCACCGAGGGGCACCTGGCGGTAAAATCACCCAGCACAACGGAACATTCTCATTACGACAGGACAGGAACCTAAGGTCATTTCCTAAAGTGCTCCGACACGTCTCGGCACGACAGCACAAACACGGACTAGACACGTGGCACAGACGCGCTCTGCTGTCACAGGACCAGAGGGGACCGCGCTTCTCCTTGCTCCTGGAGGAGGCGGCTGCCGGCTGAGGACACAGTTGAGGGCGGGGGAGAAGCGGGAGCAGGCAGGGGTTCTCAGAGAGGCCGGGGAAGTCACACGGCTTCCTGTGCTTGGGAGAGGTTCACAGCTGCTGCTTTCGGTCCCTCCGTCACAGATGCCTGTATCATCCCCACCCTGCTCCTGGCCAGCTAGGGAACCAGTCCTCCCGCCAATGCCTTGGAAGGGACTTGGCTCTGGGCTCGGTGGGGGAGCCTGGGGTGCAAAGGCTGGAGGATCCCCACCCCCGCACCCAGCACCCAGAGTTCCTCCAGAGCTGAAGTGTGGCTCAGACCCATTTGCTTCCCGACTGTTCCGGATGTCCACAGCTGTGCGGCTGGATTGTGTGTGTGTGTGTGTGTGTGTGTGTGTGTGTGTGCGTGCGCGCGCGCGCGCGCACCCTCCAGGCGAAGGTGACAGTAAGCTGGCATGGCTCATTGGGCACGAGGCACCCGCAGTCATCTGTCCATCTGAGGTCTCCCGGCCACACGTGACCCCTCCAGTATCTCACCCTGTCTGCCAGGACGTGGTGGCCCACCCACTCTGTTCCCTTTACCAGCATCAGCCCCTCAGTGAGGGACACCTGCCCTGGGGGCGTCCTCCCTGCGGGCCCAGGAACACCAGCCCATCTCATGGGGGCTGGGGCCCCTCTGCCCAGGGGTGGGACCCTCAGGCCCTCAGGAGTGCACTAGCCCTGCCTATAGCTCTCGGTGTGCCCTCTCTGGACAGGCTGAATGCTCAGGGAACAGCTGGTGCCCTTGAACCCCACAGAATCATGCCAACTGGGTGAGGTTCCTCTGGAAAGCACAGAGTTGGGCAACAGCAGATCTTAAAAACCTCCGCCAAAGTAAAATGAGTTATGGCCTGCCCCTTCCAGAACCTACAGAACCGGACTACGGTGCCACCGGCCATCTGCCTCACGCACCCTGGCCTGCGGCCCTCGGTCCCCAGCGGGCTGTGCGTCACCCCTGGCCTGAGCTCACGCCCCAGCCTTGAGGTTCGCTGTGAAGACACATGGGTCTCTGCTTTGGACGCTGATCCTGCTGACACCACCCAGCCCCTCCTGGTGCCCCAGTGACACGCTCCAGCGTCGCCTGGGGGCTGCGGAGCCTGGCCCAGGGCCGGCACCTCCTCCTCAGACTGGGGCCTGGCCTGTCACCAGGCCTCTTGCGGAACCACCAGCGTTCGTCACTACCTGGAACGAGGGCGTGGCGTCACCCTCTCCCTACCCAGATGGGGGGCTACACCCGAACACAGCTCCTCAGGTCAGCTCTGGCTCACCCTTCGATTATAAACTTTACAAACTTTCCTTTCGATATTAAAAAGAAGTTTAGAAAGTTACCCAGGCACCACTGCTAATCCTATAGAAAGAGCCTCGAGACGACAGGCCCGCCCCCGGCCCAGAACCCAGCCCCAGCCAGGCGGTCGCTGGTGCTGGTTTGCTCGGGAAGGGGGGAGGGACAACCGGGCTGCTCCCCGGAGAGCAGGACAGGGAGGGGTTTGCACCTGGAGCCCCAGCCCCTCTAGAAGAAGATGACGTCTTCCTTGCTGGCTTCTTCCTTGTCCAGGGGTGTGGGGGGCAGTGGCAAGGGCGATGGGGGCATGGGTGCGCCCCCGGGCTTGGGGGTGGAGCCCTCTGGGGGGACGTCAGCTGGGGCCGGGCAGCAGGGGTCTGGAAGAGAGGGGGTGGTGGGCGTCAGCCGCTGCCGGGCAGCACCGCGGCCCTGCCGCCCGGGGCCTGGGCTCACCTGGGAGTGGCGCGGAGCCGTGGCTGCCAAGCAGGACGGGGCTCAGTGAGCGGCGGTTCCGAGCGGCGCTCTCGTCCTTGCCCATGAACTTGCTGAGGAGCAGCTGCTGCTTCAGGTCGAAGGAGGCTGAGGGCAGAAGGGCACAGCCCGGGGTGTCCGGTCTCGCTCCAGACACACAAGCAGCCCCCCACCTTGGCCAGTGGCCTCCAACCCCTCTCCCTGGCTCTTCCCCCGGGCAGCAGAGGGAGGGCGTATGCACCCACGGCCAAGGACGACCGCAGAGACAGCCACGCCGGACTGCAGAGGGCCGCTGGGCGAGAGAGACCCCAGAGCCCGGGCAGTCCCGGGACCCAGGCCCTGTCATCAGGGAACACCCCAGGGCTGGCTCCCCTCAGCCAGAGCCTGAAGGCGGACAGCGCCCGAGGGAGCCCCTGGGCTTTCCCTGTGGGGGACCGCTCACTGCAGAGTGCTCTGCGCGAGGGCCTCAGTGTCCCCTCTGTGGAAGGAGGACACCGCAGAGACCCGGGTGCTCGTGTCGGCACTGGCTGGGGGCTGGTGGGGAGTGTGGGCACTGCTGGCCTCCGTGTCCCTCAGTGACCCGGGCTCTCTGACCTCTCCTGGGTCACCCATTTGCAGGCCCTTCTTTCTGAACAGGCAAGATGTTCCCTCGTCCCCAACCCCAGTGAGAGGGCCGAGGTAAGAAAGGGACACGGGGTTGGACGTTTTAATTTTGCTTCTTGGGGTGAAATACCACGTGGGGAGAGGTCGTCCCTGTAGCCTGGTGTCACCAGCTGCGCCTTCCAGTCTCCTCCCGGTGCCCCTCCAGGGAATGGCCCTGCGGTCCCATTTTGGTTTGCTCACAAGAAGCGCTCTGGTTTCACAAACTGCACATGACTGGACAGGGCAGGCACCTGAGATTCCCCCCTGCCCCCCACTCCGCCTAGAGGCCGCCGGCGCTCCCTCCGCGCTCACCCGAGCTGTCCCAGCGCTGCGAGCCCCT